ACTATAAGGTAGGTGCTCTGGATTCTATTCTCTTTCTATCATCGGGGAAAGCACACACAAAAATAGACAACAGACAACTGCCATTAGTTGATTAACGTTCACTGATCACTTACAGAACTCACTCGTCCTGCCCTGCCTTGGGGCTCATCCTCGAGCCCCCAGCAGCCGCATAGCGGCTAGTAGCCTAGACAGAGCGGGAAGAGGGAGTTCCGTTAGCAATCGGTGAGCGTTCATCAACGAGTGTCAATACCTTCCGATCTAAACCGGTAAGACAACGAGCCCGTGGCTCAATGGATAAAGCGTTAGATTTCTGATCAAAAGGTCGCGGGTTGGAGCCTCGGGTGGTGCACCGCTTGGGGTTGGGTAACGGCTAAGGAACCAAAAGTGGCCATTCCAGTCTCTCTTTTCTTTGCTGGCAATGCTATCAGTCATGCCATTTTTTTCTTTAGCACTTATTCGTGACAAATGTGTGCTTGCAGACGTACATTACTGGAAACGATAAGGAAAACTGGGATAGCCATTTCGGACTCATTAGCTGTCATCAGCCAGTCAAACCCACCCCCAAGCCATGCACTACCCGGGGCTCGAACTCACGACCTTTTCGATCTGAGTCTAACCGTTGGGTCACGAGCTCGTCTTGCCGGTTTAGATCGGGAGATATTGACATTCGTTAATGAACGCTTACCAATCGCTAACGGAACTCACTAGTCCCGCTGTTTCACGCGTGCGTGAAGGCCTCATTCTGTGCCGAGCCGCTTTTACCTACCGCGGGCGTGTTTCGAAGTGAAGACTATGTGATTGGCCGAGCGCTGACCTCATTAGGTCGAGTTAAATTCAATCAGCTGTTCTGCAGGTGGTGTAAAAACGACACCGCTGCCCTGGAATGTTCATGGTGTACTAGATGTACCAATCTGCAATAACGACAGCTTTAATCTCACACGAGTGAGTGTTCTATGAAAGTCTTGCTAAGAAAGAGTCCTTGTTACCGGATCCTGATAGACACCGAGTTACCTAGTCATTTGGTAACCTTTCAAGCCATGAAATGGTTTAGAAGCACGCGTCTAAGGCGTGAC